AGGCTCTCCTCCACGCGGAGGAGAGCCTTCTCAGTAGCAGCTCCGACCCTCTGGAACGATCTCCTCGTGGAGATTTGTACCCTCACCACTGTCCAGACCTTCCGCACAGCCCTTAAGACCTGGCTATCCCGTCAGGCCTGGGGATAAGATTTAATCCGCCCCGCCCGAATGTTGAATGAATGTTGTGTTTTACTGTTTTGTTTTATTTTATTTTATTCACATTTATGTTTTCTCTTGCACTCCCTCCTATGAGTTGTAAGCCGCCCTGAGTCCCCTCAGGGAAAAGGGCGGCCTGTAAATGCCAAATAAAACTCTAAAAACTCTAAAACTCTAAATAATCCAGCTTCTATTTCTATTACTACTTCATACCTGTGTCCAATCCGAGAGGAGCCATTCAGGGGGACAGTCCTTATTTTTGCAGGCTTGTTGGGAAGCTGGCCGTGAAGCGGAACAAAAGGTTTCTGGAAGTTCTAGAAAACTTCCATCCGCCATGCGCTGCTTGCAAAGAACGTCCCGTCTCTCAATGCCACCGCCGCATGTCTGTGAACACTGGAGAACATTTGCAGCAGAAGCTTATGAGCCTGAGAAACATGAGCAGCAATGGGCTTCCACAAATTGATCAGTATCTCATAAAAGTTAATGGGTTGCTTCAAACAGCATGTGGAATAGCAGACTTTATGATAGAAATACTAATAAAAACAATTAGGGGATTGAAACAAGGGAGGACTTTGAAATAATGTTCTGGGGCAGGTTTTTAATATGCGTTCTGGGTTTCATAAAGCCCTTTCTCTTTGACAATAAAACAAAGGCTGAAAAAGATGTAATGATACAAACACTTTTAGGCCACTTTGTGTTAAAGAGATGCTATATCCACTTTCTTTTGGAAAGCAGACAAAGGGAAAAAGATAAGATAACAGCCGAAAACAAAGCTTTCTAATTTTAAAAAAATGTTTCTGATTAAAAGGATAAACTTGAACAGCCAAAACATTAAGCCTGTGGAGCATTACCAAGAGCCAGTGATCTGTAGTATTCGGATGTCTGTGTGTTTGTGTGTGTGTGTGTGTGTATTTGTGACAATTGCATCACCTTGTCTTTCCTTTTTCTCTGTTTGTTTGGAGAGCATGCACCTGCACCTGCCTGAAGGGGTGAAACATGTATAGTAAGTGCGATGTTGTTTTCTTTACTGTTGAAAGCAGCAAGATATTGTGGATCACACTGACAAAAACTCTCCTGCTCAAACATTAAAACTTTTAGACAGACTTTCTCCAGAATTCAAAGGCCTCACTAATATTTCTAGATAAAACAATCAGCAGATAAAAGTGGTTGTAAAATAGGAATTTGCTGGATGGGGTTGTTCCTCAAATCAGCAAAAATAACCAAATAGGGTTTTCATTGGAGGTCAGTGGGCAACAAATCTCAATCTCAAACTGTCTACTATGAACCTCACCCCATTCTTAAGGGGGCGTGCATAAGCGCACCAGTGTGCCTAATGTCCCTGTCTTACTGTCCCCATTTATCTGTATTTACTTCCGTTGTTCATTTTTATGTTTATACCTATACTTCTTATCTTGTATGTTTGACAAACAAACAAATAAACAAATCAAAGCATACATGGAATTTATGATTCTAAGATTAATATCCCTCCCATTTCTAGCCACCAATAGCAGATATGGGTAGTTTTCCCCCCTTGGGAACTGGAATTTACCTGTTGCCATTCTTGAAGATACCAAGATGGAGGACAGTCAAAACGGTTGCAGGCTTGAACCCCTGTAGGCTTGGGTTTGTGACATTGCTTGTCTTCCAAAGTCATTGTCTCATTAGTCTCTCTGGAGAGGAGATGAGTGCAGAAGACCTCGCGGATTTGCAATCCCACACCGCAGGTGAGGCTGCAAGAGCTCCATTTTCCCATCTCCCACCTGACAGGAAAGCCAAGAAAAAGATTCTGAAGTGAAAGAAAACATATTCCATAATTATGCAAAAAAAGCCAACACCTGGCTTGATTCTGATTCTGTACTAGGTTGAATCTAGTTGTATCCTCCATGATTCGTTGTTGTTGTTAGTTGCAAAGTTGTGTCTGACCCATCGTGACCCCATGGACAACTCTCCTTTATTGGTGAGTTCCTCCAGGTCTTCCTGTCCTCTACTATCCTCTGGAGTCCATTTAAGCTCACACCTACTGCTTCAGTGACTCTATCCAACTACCTCATTCTCTGTCATCCCATTCTTCTTTTGCCCCCAATCTTTCCTAGCATGAGGCTTTTCTCCAATGAGTCCTTCCATGATTCTTACATAGTAGTAAATCCTTTGGATGTCACTGGGAACCACATTCAAGTAACTTACTCTGGATCCAGAATTTAAAATACATTAATGTTTACTTACCTGGATTTCAAATGCATTTAATGTAACTGTTGTGTTTTATACAGCAGTATAAAACTTGAGTTAGCCCAGCATTTCTGTTGCTAAATGAGACATTTGTAAAATGAGTTTTGCCCCATTTTACAACCTTTCTTGCCTCTGTTGTTAAGTGCATCACTGCAGTTGATAAGTTAGTAACCCGGTTGCTAAGTGAATCTGGCTTCCCCATTGACTTTGCTTGTCAGAAGCTCACAAAAGGAGATCACATGACATTGGGACACTCCAACCGTCATAAATATGAACATATTTGCCAAGTCAATTGCCAAGTATCTGAATTTTGATCATGGGGATGCTAAAAGATGGTAACTGTGAAAAATGGTCATGACACTTTTTTCAGTGCCTTTGTAACTTTGGTCACTAAATGAATTGTAGTAAGTTGAGGATTACCTGTATTTTACACTTTTGTTTTACTATTTTGAACCACTTTTTGAAGAGCAGCAGGGTAAATTTAATAAGTAATTACATGGATTTAAAGGCATGATAAATCTTATCTGATCACCATTTGAATCCACCCCTCCTTTTTACTTGTTATCAAGTAGCAACTCCAGCAAACAGGCTGGATGGGCCTCCTGTAGTCAAGGTACTCTATGGCAGGGGTGTCCAAACTTGGGAACTTTAAGACTTGTGGACTTCAACTCCCAGAATTCCCCAGCCAGCATGGCTGGCTGGGGAATTCTGGGAGTTGAAGTTCACAAGTAGTTCACAAGTTTGGACACCCCTGCTCTATGGTCTTGATGTTTATGCCTAGAATCTGCATTAACTTTTTAAAATTGATTTTGGCAGTGCTCCTACAATGACAAATTGGATCAAAATTACTTTTCTTTTGCTAATAATAGTACAAATGTAGCTTATGTGCTTTGCCTTTTAGGAAATATATGAAGTTTCTAACCTCGTAGACGTATTAGTCCAGCTGCCTCTTGAAAAAATACCTTTGGGACCACAATGGATTTTTTATTTTTATTTTTTCTAGTTATTTAATTTATTTAACAAATTTCAAGGTGCCTAACTATATATGCCCATTCATTTTCAAAATGTAGGATTTTTAAACATTTAGGTTGAATGAGAATGAGCAAAATAAGAAAGAGAACAGATCTTTGGCTATATTATGAATGCCCAATTTAATGAATTAATAAACATTTTTCCTTTAATGTCATTGAGTCTGTTGGGCAGTCCATGCTTATTTGTTGGCTAATAACTCAATACCTTGAAGTCTAACAGTGTATTGTTTCATCTTCCAAAATAAAATACATTTGTAGTTGTCCTCTATGGTCCTTTGCTCATCATGGTGGAAAGTAATTTGATTTGTTAAAGAAGTGCATTCCAATCTGTCACTTATCTGTTGGATTCAGCCGGTTCGCACCTATTTGGGAGAACCGGTTGTTAACTTTCTAAGCAGTTTGGAGAACCTTTTGTTGGAAGAAATCTCCTTTTGTTTTTTTCCAATTTATAGAGCTAATCCTGTAAGAAAGGCAGGAAGGAAACATTCTGGTGTTGTTTTTAGCCTCATCTTTATTGCCCTGCTTACAGAAACTGCCTCTCCAGTAATCCTTATTACAGTGTAACAGCTAAGGCGAAGCGCCCATCGATGTGAGTGATGTTGAGTTGGCCACACCCCCCCAGTCACATGACCACCGAGCCATGCCTATCCAGCTGGTCATTAGAGCAGAGAACCGGTTGTTAAATTATTTGAATCCCACCACTGGTTGGAGTGTAATACTAATTTTGAAGCACAAACAGCTATCTGAATAGATTTCAGCTGCTTCAACAGGAAGTTCAAGTTCCTAGGCCAAAACAGAGATGCACAACTTATTCTTGTTTGATGGCTAGGTTTGGTTTGAATGGGATGCAGTAGGCTGGACTCCAAATGATGGAATAGAGTTAACTATAGTTTGTTTTTTATTTAAAAGTAACTGAAATTAAGTCATGTAGTTATGGCTTCTCCATCAAGTATTTAATTTTTCCCCACTTTTGCCACAATAACAAAGACAATTACATCAAATGGAGATCCCTGTTTTTGCCAGCAAATCCAAACATTCTGCAATATTTATTCAATGAGATTACTACAAAAAGTTTGTTATCACTGGCCTGCATCAGAAAATTCTCCATATTCTGCATGGCATTTTATAACAAGTTTTATTTCTGGTGCTGTTTAGTGGTTATCTGGATAGGATAGTTTTTCTTTTGGAACTGTCTAAACTGTCTTTTGATAGCTAAATAAGGAGTTATGTTTTCTGAAGATATTTAATAGTTTTAATTCTTTTTTTTGGCAATGTTTAATTGTTAAAAGAGGGAGGAGGGGAATTTGACTAAATGGAAAAGGCATAAATATACTTAGGTCATTAGGTATGCTTGTTAATTTTTACTGGATCTTTTCTAATTAAAAATGAGAGCTGAAGATTTAGAAATGAGTTTATAAAAATGTCAGGTATGTAAAGAAGAGATATTTGTTGTTGTTGTTAGTTGAGAAATCATGTCTGACCTATCGCGACCCCATGGACAACATTCCTCCAGACCTTCCTGTCCTCTACCATCCTCTGGAGTCCATTTAAGCTCAAGTTTACTGCTTCGGTGATTCCATCCAGTCACCTCATTTTCTGTCATCTCCTTTTTTTGCCCTCAATTGTTCCCAGCATTAGGCTCTTCTCCAGTGAGTCCTTCCTTCTCAATAGGTGGCCAAAGTATTTGAGTTTCATCTTCAGGATCTGGCCTTCTAAAGAGCAGTCAGGTATCCTGATATCCTCTAGGACTGACTAGTTTTATCGTCTCGCAGTCCAAGGGACTCACAGGAGTCTTCTCCAGCACCATAGTTCAAAGGATGTATTGTAAGATACAATAACTTGTTAATACTGAATATATTTATTGAGAACGAAAGGAAAAGTTTCTTCTTATATTTTCTTTGTCATTGAGGGTTTTTTTGGGCAGCGGGGGGGGGGCTGCCTGTACTTTCTAAACATTTTTTTTCTTTTCTATGTATTTTTGTACTGTTTTTGTATTTGTCTTATCTGTTTAATATAGTCCTTAATAAAAATATTATAAAATCCTCCAATAAAGTATGTTTCTAAAGCTATAAAAAAGATTAAACTGGGAAAGGTGCCGGGACCAGATGGATTATCAGGTTCTTATTATAAATATTTTGAGGATGAACTTTTACAACTGTTACAAAACAAGACGAACTCTAATCTACAGGGAGGAGAAATGCCAGAGAATTGGAAAGAGGCCAGTAAAGCATTAATACTGACAGAGGGACAAGATTTGACTTTAACAAGAAACTATAGGCCAATATCATTATTAAATATGACTATAAGTTGTTCATAATGAGTCCACCTGACAATTTTTTAAGAATTTATTAATGAGGATCAATGTGAGTTCTTACCTAAAAGACAATTAGAAGTATGTTGGACATTTTGGAATATTTGGCGAAACATTAAAAAAAAGCAAGCTTCATGGATCTTTTTGGAGGCAGAGATGGCCTTTGACTATTTGAACTTTCTGGCAAAGTTTTTGAAAAATATGAATTTTGGAGAGAATTTTATAAAACGGGTATTTTATGTTACTTTTATTTACCCTTTTAAAATATGTGTATGTACTTCAAAAGGACTTTTGAAAATTGCCTGTTCAGACAATCATAGATGATATGCTAACTGTAGCTAGTCTAATAGAACAGAATAACAGAATTGGAAGGGACCTTGGAGTTCAACCCCCTGCTCAGGCAGGAAACCCTATACTATTTCAGACAAATCGTTATTCAATCTTTCTTTAAAACTTCCAGTGTTGGAACATTTACAACTTCTGGAGGCAAGTAGTTCCACTGATTAATTGTCCTAACTGTCAGGAAATTTTTCCTTAGTTCTAAGTTGCTTCTCGCCAAGATCACATCTTACAAGTGCAAGATGGTCAAAAAGCAGAAGAAAAAGTCAACCTCTTCATAAAACAAATTAAATAACTGATCACTAATAATTCATAAAATATTACAAGAATTAAGTGTTAACATACTTTCATTGCTTTCATATCTCAAAACAGACTCTATATAAATGTTAATTTATTATCATAACTCAAAATGTCTTAAATTGTATGCAATTTTTTTCCTTTAAATTCAGTGTTGATTTCACATGCTTGGGAATTATAGGTTCATAATTTTTCAGCATTACCAGTTCACAATAGTTCAGATACAAATACAATAATACCGGATGGTATGTTGTTTTCTTTCTTTTTCCCCAATAAGCAGCTGCTTTCCACATTTCCATGAAAAGCAGATGATTAATTACTATCAATTGGGATTTTACAACTCTTGTGAATTCAAAAGGCACAAAGCCAACATATAAATAACTGGATAGAAGACAAAGGGGAAGGAGAGAAAGGGGAACAATGAATGAAAAAAAGAAAAGAAGGCAAACCAGCCAGGCTAGCCTACAGCATGGGTGTCAAACTCGATTGCGTCACGTGACGTATCGTGAAGTTTTTTTTTTGCCTTTGCAGAGCCGCCAATTTGACACCCCTGGTC